CTTGCTAACTGTTCTTATAGCTTAAATTAATCCATTTCCATAAATCTATACCTTGCCACGTGGCTGGTGGCTTACCGGCATCTTCACATGCTGCTAGTCATGGCGGCGGCTGCAGTGTCTCTCCGAGTCAGCCTTCTACTTCCCAGACTGACTATTGAAGTAAAATGGACGATAAGGAAAGTGAAGAAGAAGATGTCTCTCAGCCAGTCATTTAGAACTGCAAACTGCAAAAGTCCCTGCAAACACTTTTGTTTGGTATAAGTAGAACATATGCTACTGACATCTGCTGGGTACAGGGAAAGAATGCTCTAAACATTCTGTGCATCTACATGAAAGCACCCCAAAATTATACAGCCCCAAATGTCAGTAGTTCTACATGAAACCCTAATACAAGCACACACACAAGAATACACACACACACATGCTCCCTACAGTGTTAAAATGAGTCCTTTGAGAGAAAAGGAAAGAGTTCACCAGCCATGTGTGGAAACTAAAATTCAGGTGAGTAAACAAGAAGTCATGTCTTTATAGATTATACCAATGTATACAGCACTCACATGAGCACATTTGCGTCTTTGTAGACTATAACAGTGTACATAGCACACACACATAAGCACATTTGGTAGAATTCTACATGTCTCAGAAGATTTTTGAAGAGTCATGCTGTCACATTAACTTTGTAAGTGAAAATCACAACCATATTATAATATATTCTTTGCATAAATGACGAATTTACTTTTATTCCTTTCCTAATTTGTGTACTTTTTATTTCTTGCCCTTATCTAACAGATCCTGCCAGTATTCCCAATTGTGTGTTGAATACAAGTAGTCAGACTGGACATCTTGCTTTGTATTCAACCTTAGAGAAAAATCTACTCCCTTCCCACATTACATGTACTGTTGATCTTGAGTTTTACAAGATGGCCTTTCTTATATTGATAGCAATCCTTACTATAAATAAATTGATGAGAAAAATAGGGAGAGATAATTATGGGTAATAGACTGAAAATGGATAATAGATGATATTATAGATAATATGATTGATAGATAACAACTAGATGAGATAGATAACAATTAGGTAAGATAGATAACAGCTGGATACGATAATTAGATAAGATAGATGACAGAAGATAGATAAGTGATGTCATATGATAAATGATGATGATGAAGATAGGTAGGTAGATAGATAGATAGATAGATAGATAGATAGATAGATAGATAGATAGACAGATAGACAGATAGATATGTTTGTCTTACTGAATTTCTCTGAAGACTCTATGGAGATTTATACCCCAAGGTCTACCCAAGACCTTATTAAGTTAAATCATATCAAGTGTGTTTTACTAACCAGAACTGTGCTTGGCAAGCATTGAATTTTGCAGCAGTTAGTCCCTGAATGACTTGCAGTCACTTTTCACTATTATGTGACCCAAGCTAGCCTCAAACTCCCCAAACACCTCCAATGGTTCCCTTACCCACACTTTCACTCCCATATCAGCCTCGTGCTTGCTGAGAATGCTGGTGTGTGCCACATGCCCGGCTTATTTTTCTTTTTAATTTTCTTGTATTATTTAATTATTGATGTGTGGACTTGTTGATATAGCAGCAACTGAAAGACATCAGGTGAAAGAAGATAGCTAAGCATAGACTTCACCTCAGAACATAGGCAGTTCTCTTAAGTCCTGGTTCCTTCTTGCCTAGTCCATATTCCCAAGAGCTTCATAGAGAGAATATTTGATGCTATCTCTCCTTTACTGAAAGACACCTTCAGAATGGCGCATACAACACCTCAAAGCAAACACAGTCATCCCTCAATCAATTATAGTTCTCTATCACATTGCATCTGCCTTGAGGACACAGATGCTGATTCCTGGGTAGAGTTTGATTTTTTAGCTTCCAAAAGATCCTGCTACTTGTAGTTGGATTTTTCTTTGGACTGCTAACCAGCTCCCAAATAAAAAAAAAAGACACGGCGACTTATTATTAATTATGAATGCTCAGCCTTAGCTTAGATTTGTCCTACTAGCTCTTTTAATTTATTTTAACCTATTTCTATTCATCTACATTTTGCCTCCAGGCTTTTTACCTTTCTTTCATTCTGTATGTCCTACTTTCCTGCTTCCTCTGTGTCTGGCTGGCTGGCCCCTGGCATCTCCCTGTAGTCTGTTGCTTTCTCCCCCAATCCTAAATTCCTCCTCCTACTATTTTCCCTGCCCACAAATTCTACTTATGACTCCTCGTCACTATAGACCATTCAGCTTTTTATTAGATCAAACAGGTACCTTAGGCAGGGAAGGTAAAACAGCAACACATCTCTACACAGTCAAACAAATATTCAGCAACATAAAAAGATGCAACACATCTATACATAGTTAAACAAATGCAACACATATTTACACAGTTGAACAAATGTAACACATATTTGTATAGTTAAACAAATATTTTACAATAGTGACTGTCTTTGTCAAGGCACATGTGTGAAGCACTACAGACACTGAATAATTGGGGCTGTGGTAAGCATTTTGTATTGTTATTTTGTGCATGCATAAACTTGCTCATTTCTTCAGAGTTCCCACTGTGTATCCAAGCTGGTATCCAAGTTTTGGGAACACACATCACATCTGAGATCTCTCCCAGAAGCTCCCCCTAACCCTGAGCTCTGGAGTGAGTTATATAAGTGTTGTGTTATATTTTGATCACACTCTGACGCTTTTGAGGCTGTATAATAAAGTTATAACTTAAATCAGGGGGCAGAGCCAGTGATTAGCTGACTGCAATTGGTCATAGAGAAGCCAGCTATTTAAATAGAGAAGACACACAGGAAGGAAAGTGCAACGACTAGAATTTGTGCTCTCTTGGTTTGGGGATGAGGGAAGAGACATGTTTCTAGTGGTGTCTTTGGCCAAAAAGCAAGGTCAGCTAGTTGTTACTTAGCTTCTCTGAGCTAGCAGGTTTTTACCCCAGCCTTTGACTTTTGAGTTTTATTGATGAATAAAACAATAGAGACTTAATTTAAACCTTTACATAGCCATGGCCATGGGACCAAAAGTCCCACCAGACTGTAGCCTAAGTGACTAGTGTGTTGCTGACTAAGGGGTCATGGGGCAGCAGATGATAATTAAAATATCAGTAGATTTATGTATACCCTTTAAGCTGACAGGAAAATATCTTTGGCACCCAACATGGGGCTGTTTAACATTCCCTGTAGAGGAATTTTCCAATGGTACCTTTTAACAGCCTGGGAAATGTTATAAGTAGACACTGTGAAGGTAAATTTTTCTCTATCCTGTTTTTGTAAAGGTATAGTAAAAAAGCAGTCTTTTAAATCAATCACTATAATAGAGCATCCCTTAGGTAATAAAGAAGGTAAGAGAATTTCAGGCTGTAAAGAGCCCATTGGCTGAATCACCTTATTTATGGCTCTTAAAACTATTAGCATTTTCTATTTTTCATTATTTTTTAATGACAAATATAGGATAATTCCAAGGACTGTCAATTCTTCAATATGTTGAGCATTTAGCTGCTCCTGAACCAGCTGTTCTGGTGACTGTAATTCCTCTAATGTCAAAGGCCTTTGTTCCACCCACACAGATTTGTCAGTTAATCATTTCAAAGGCAGGGCTGTTGGTACGTTTGTATCCTGTTTATGTACAACTCCAACAGTTGGTGACTATTCTTGATAATTCCTTTTAATATTTCTCTCAGAAGCATTCTTTATTTTTTTGTTTATTTCTGAGATGGGGGGAAATGCTAACCTGTGATTTCCATTGCTACATCAAATCACATCCCCATAAATTCATTGCTATGTTAACCACATATGGTCTTAATTTTCCTATCTGTCCTCCTGGCCCTATACACTCAACCCATTTGCACTTTGTTTTACCTGAGATAAAGTTCCGTTTCTTAGAAACTTAACATTTACCTCCTGGAGAGGCCAATTTGAATGCCGGGATTTTGGTTGAAATTATTGTTACAGACAAGCGAATGGGCTTAGTACTTCTCTCTTGTCATATAAGCTCACTGAGGACTTTCACCTTATGAGAAAATGATGGAAAGCAAAAAGCATCCAGACTCCGGCACCCCCCTGAGTGCACCAGACATCACAGGTGTCAGGTACTGGAGCCTTAGCTGACATCATCTCCACCCTCATAGAATCTGAGATGCCTGGTTTGGCTGGGATCTGCAGAGCCTGGTCAGTTGTCCAGTTGGTCAGTCGTGTTGGTCTTCATTCCCAGAGATATGTTTCTTCTTTGTCTGCAAGGGGTGAGAACAGGGACCTGTCTGGCTTCAGAACATTAGTCCATCCTTCATCTCTTTAAACCCTACCTTCCACCAGTGCGGACAGTCATCATTGTTTTCCATAATTAGTCCCCCAGAGGTTTTGTATTTCTATTCTCTCTCCCAATGTATCGATTTCCATGGCTCATTACTGCCCAGCATTGTTACCCAGGTGGCCAAAGACAACTGTAGCCAGCAGTCTGTGTGAGGGATGAAAGGCAAGGTAGCACGATGGTAAGGTCCCTAGGAATGGAGGGATGGAACTAGCAGGACCTGTCGGATTGACCAGGTTGTGTGTGCCTAATGAATCATCATTATGAAGTTCTGTGCACCAGTAATCTATAGCTTCTATTTTAAAAAGCAAACAGACTTTTTCTAAAAAGAAATTATACACCAATGGGGGGAGTTCTAACAGAAAATGTACCCGTGTGATTGTTTCAGCCAAATACCAGACATTTTCACCTGCAGTTGGAGGCAGTTTTGTTGAAGTCATGTGTTCACTACAGTAAATACCTGTTGCCAACAGAGAAGGGGAAACTGGTTGGGATCTAAAAGGAAAAAAATTTAATTAATAAATTTAATTAATTAAAAAAGAGAAACTGCTTGTGTAATTTTATCATTGTATATAAACATGATATCTCATACTTATTTATCAACATATTTTTCAGCAGTTTCATTCACTTTCTTTCTGGTATCAGTTTCTTTCTTTAAAGAAATATACCCTTTAAAAGAATTTAGCCAAGTTTGGTGTCAGGGAATGTTTTCAGTTTTTGATAATTGGAATGTATTGTCTAGCCAGTATCTTGGGGTAGACAGTTCTAGGACAGGTATTTTCTCTCCCTTTTTTGTTCACATAACCCTTGTCTTTTGGCTTCAACTTTTCCATGTCCTTCTATTAGATGGTTTTTATTAACTGGAGTCTCACTACATTGCACAAATCAGTCTCGGACTCTTAGCTAATGCTTGCCTGTGTCTATCACAGAACGGAGACCACGCAGCAGGTCTTCCTCTGTACTTGTTAGCCTGTGTGCTTTCTTTTCATTCATTCTTTGTTTGTTTATTTGCCTGCTCCTTTGCAACATGCAAGAAATATCATTTTTTCATTTTTATTGACTGGTATAACCTGTTATTTCTATCTTTCTATTTATGCCTTCATCATTATTAAGTAATTTTCAGCCATTTTACTTTTGGAATTGTTTCTCTGTAGCCATCTATATTTCTGGGATTCTGTTTATTAGTAGGTCATACTTTCCCTCTTTTCTCCATTGGTCTTAACCTTATATGTGTAGGTGTATTTTCTAAAATGGAACAATGTCGTTTTCTCAGTGAAATCTTGATATCACTAAGTAATGGGATGTACCTATGATCCCTATCTTTTTTTTTTTTCTAGACACATTGGAAGTCTGGAATCCAGTGGACTGGGTTTTCTGATAGAGAAGCCTTTGCATCCTGGAATCTCAACATGTTTATTGTATTGAGATGAACAGGAAGATGGGGTTACTAAATACAACTAAAGAAGGAGATGGAGTCATTATATACAAACAAACAAGTAAATAGGGTTTAAGTTATATAGTTGGATCAAGAAGACAGTCTTAACTAATTCAGGTAGGAGCAGTCTCTGTAGGTAAGCAGTCTTCAGGCTGTAAATATCTGTGGAGACAAAAATATGGTGGATACTTTCTGCACACAAAATCGACTTTCTCATGTGAACCTGATGAAGGCTTTGCCATCCCCCTGAGCCTCCCGCTTTTGAGGATGAGGCTTTGCCATTTTTCCACGTGGCTAACACTGGAAGGCCATGTCAACAGCACACATTCATTCAGGACTCAGTTCACTCAGGGTCTCCTCTGCTCCACACCACAAAACTCCAGAGATCAGTTCCATGACAAGCATGTGAACAAGATCCAGGCTGTGTGACTAAGAAGTGATGTTTAGCCTGAGGGTTAGAGATGCAGCTCAATGGTAGAGGACCTTTCTAGCTCCCATGATGCTCTGGGTTTAGTCACAGGAAAGCAACCACAAAGGCAAATGTAGACACTAAATATTATAGTTTGAGAGAGAAAGGAAGAGAAGAAATGGGTTGGCAGAAGGAGGTGGAAAGGGGGGAAAAAGGCATAAGTGAAATCACACACACACACACACACACACACACACACACGCACGCACGCACCCACACCCACACTCACACACACATGCACACACACACACTCACACACACACGCACACTCACACACACACACACATGCACACTCACACACACACGCACACTCACACACACACTCACACACACATTCACACACACACTCACACACACACACACACGCACACTCACACACACTCACACATGCACACTCACACACACGCACACTCACACACACACTCACACACACATTCACACACACACACACGCACACACACTCACACACGTACACACACATACTCACACACACATACACACACATACACACACACACACACACACACGTACACACACGCACACCCCACATATTTGCATGTTCTGTGTCCCTCTCTCCCAGGCCAGATATGACTATTTGAAGGTCATTCTGAGGAGATTTGGGGAATGTAAACTCAAGAGGTCACAAAAGCCAAAATGCAACTATGATAATCAAAGGAAGAGTAGAGATCAAAGTTCTAAGGGAAAAAAAGACCATTTTTGGAAATTGCCTCCAACTAATTTCTCAGCATCCTATTTCACTGGAAAATCCAGGTTCTAAGAAAACCACATCAAACACAGCAGAAGATGACTGCAATATGGAAGTTTCTATGTCCCCCTTTGTCCCTTTTATTGAAAATAGATGTCCTTTCTCACATAATATATCCTAGTTATGGTTCCCCCTCTTTCTACTCTTCCAAGTTCCTCCCCACCTCCCTCCTCACCCAGATATACTCCCTTTCTGTTTCTCAATAGAAAAAAGCCGGCTTCTAGGCGATAAAAATAAAATATAACAAAATAAAATATAATAAGAAGAAACAAAAACTAACACATTGAGTTGGACAAGACAAACAGAAGGAAAAGAGCCCAAGAGAAGGCACAAGAATCAGAGACCCACTCATTCCCACACTTAGGAATCCCATAAAACCACTAAACTAGAAGCCACAGTATACACACAGAAGACGTGGTGCAGACATGTGCAGGGCCTGTGCACGCTGCTTCAGTCTCTGAGTTCATACAAGCTTTGCATATTGATTTAGAGGGTCTTGTTTTCTTGATGTCTTCCATCCCCTCTTACACTTTTTCTTCCATGGGGTTCTCTGAGGGGAGGGATTTAATGGAGATACTCCATTTAGGGCTGACTAATTGTTCTAAGGTCTCTCACTCTCTTCTTAATGTCAGGGTGTGGGTCTCTGTATTTGTTCCCATCTGCTGCGAGAGGAAGATTCTCTGATGATGGCCGAGCAAGGCACTAAAGATCCCTATCTTGAGATTTGCTGGACCCTGTGTGATACTTGAACTATGGAATGCAGCAAATGTGATTTTGTCTGAATGTCAAAGCTAGGTCACAGCCATATCACTGTCTTTAGACACAGTAATGTTGGAAGGGAGCAACACAGTATGAGAGACCCCAAACAAGCTCTCCCAGGTGGTACATAGGTGAGAAACCTCATGTTCAGAGGCACAAATGTAGTTGTTCTGATTGACACCTCAGTATAGACACCACTGAGAACCAACATCAACCTGAGATGGTTTCAGTTCCCTCTAGATTTGAGACCCTTAATTATTATAGATCGCAGACAAACCAGCCTTGATTGTACTTAATTACTGGTCTTAAATCCATGAACATAATAAAATGATTGTTTTAAGCTGGTACCTTCAGAGATACATGAATAATGTTGGAGTAGACGCTGGGATGTGCGTATGTGTTTTTGCAGAATTTCTTCAGTTATATCTCCAAAGACCCTATTGAATTCAACCTACTCATCCCTGACATTACCAACACAAATTAAACTTTATTACCAGTGGCTGCAATTTTCAGTTCGGTGTGCTTGCTTAGCTGTTTTCAAATCTTGCTAATTCTGCAAATATCTATCACTTGATATTTCACTTTACAAAACTTCTTACAAATCTTATAAATATCCCCTCTTGTAAGATTTACAATCTTAACACCTAAAGCTGCTGAGATTTTACTTATTTTAGAATGGTGCTACTGGAACCTACTCATTGGAGGGCTTGTTTCCTTTTACAGATGGAGATATAAAAGTTTTCTCTTTTTTATTGCAATGACACACAGAAATGCAGCTGGCTGCCAATAATAGGTCAAGGCTCCAAACAAGCAGCAGCCAAACAACCAGGGGCTCACACTCAGATTTCCAACTTACCTATGTTCTAACCTTGGTGTCCTAAGTCCATTCCTGAAGAAGTTGTTCTTTTCTAGAGCAATTGTTTCTCTGCAATACTTATGTTATTTGCTTATTGATTTTGCACGAGGATATTATTGTTGTTCAAGTATATATCATGCTGAGTATATTCACCCCACTGTCTCCTCTCTTCACCCCCCCTCACTGCTTCCATTTGTCACCTTTGTTCACACAGACATATTGCTTCTACATCCGTATCACACGTACACACTTTTGTATATCAAAGTGAACTCTAGGAACCACATGCAAGAACACGACATGTTTGTCTTTCTGTGTCTGAATTAACACATTTGATATCATTATCTCCAGTTCTACCCATTTCCCCTACAGGTGACATCTCATACTTCATACTTCTCTATGGTTGAAAAAGAATTCTGTGGTATATTTATATCATATTGTCTTTATCTATTTTTCCATTGTTGGTTAAGTTTGTTTTTGCTCTTTAGATGTTTAGCCTGTATATAGATGCTTCAGAAAATCTAACGTGCAATTGTTTCAATTCATTCAAGATCAATTTTTGCACTAGGTAATCTGCCAGATGGAGAAAAATCTAAGAAAATTCATATATATATATATATATATATATATATATATATATATATATATATATATAAAATTGTAAATGTTATATATAATATGTTTGATATATTATTTATATTTATATATACCAAAAGGAATAAAGACATTATTTATTATTTATGTACATATATTTAATTCATACTCTAAATGTGTTATTTTGATTAAATTTTATCTTTTTATCAATAAGCAACATCTGGAAGGATTTTGATGCATTTTGGTATTCGAGTGTTTATTCACATAAATTAGTAAAGGATGTGAGTTTTAGTCAATATAAAGGGCAGAAAGCTGAAGGTGTGAAAGTCTATAAATTAGCTATTTGATATGCTTTACCCTTTAATGGTTTCTTATTCCTTCCTCATAAACATCTAATTGTACTTTTAGAAGAGGTTAAATTGGATAATAAAAAATGAATTACAAATTTCAATTCAAATGTTCTCTCAGTTCATGGCTTAAAACATAAATACTTTGGAACTGGGACATTACCAATAATTATCTTCCTCAAGAAGAGATTTTAGATATATCTCTCTTAACTCCATTAGTATATTTTATGGGTTATCTGTCAACTGTGCATCTTAGTATGTGTGACATTATGTACTTCTTAAACATTTCAACGTATGAGAAAGTAAGTGTATTAACACTGCTACTTTGGGATCTACATCTAGTTAATTATTAAACAAAATGACATTCAACCCATGGCATGGTGCTCTGAGGAGTTCAGGTTTTTGTTATGGCCCCCAAATAAGAAGAAACGTGTTTTGGAATCATGACTAGATTTTCTTAGGTCATCTTAGTCTCCCAGCATCACTTTTAAAGGCATTCAAATTAAAGGTAATGCAGGTTCTTAGGGTAAGTCAATGGAATTCAGATCAATAAGAACATTTCCCATCACAAGCAGTTCAAGAAAAAACATAAATGTATGAGAACAAGAGAGTGTGAGATACTGAAAAAGATGTTGATGACTGATCAGCAAAACCTTGAGATAAAGGAGGGTGAAGATGTCCTGAGATAAAGATGAAGGAGATTTGGAATCCACACATTTTATAGGGCAGGGTCCACAACTGACTCAAAATTTGCAGCAACAGGAATTTGAGATCACTGGACTTATGTGGAATAAAATAAGAAATAGCAAAGGAAGGTATTGATAAATAGTATCCTATAAAAACAATATGCATATCACACATGGATACTATAGAAGTCAAAGAGTAGGAAGTGTGTGAAACAGGCACACAGAAAGGAGAGAGGGGAGAGATTTGATATAAAATAACAGAATGGATATGTCATAACTTTTGAAGTGTTAAAAGTAAATTTGCGTACAGACAGACCTGTGCTGTGATCATAGTCCATGCAGAGCTGTCATCTCTGTAGCTCCCTGGAGCTGACCCACATGAGGGACCACAGAGGCAGAGGTGATTTAGTTACCGCTCCTCTTTGCCTTACCTGGCCTTGAATATGGATAGAAAAAAATTTCCTTTTGCCCTTTAATTCAGAGTGCAACTTGAGGGTAATTTGACAGAAACATTTCCAGGTTATTCATAAACACAATGTCTGAATTTTGATTTTTTTCTATCAGTGAATTAAGAGCCACGATGGCTTACATATTAATTATTGAAAGAAACAAACTCTCATCATTAATTTTCCAAATAAGATTTACTTTAGAAATATTTTTTCTTTTATTCTTTGAGAATCGCATACATGTATGCAATTGGTCATATTCACTCCCCATTCCCCTCCCCCACCTCCTCCCACATACCCTGCTACCATAGCTCCCTTTTTCTGTTTGTTGTTGTTGCTGTTGCTGTTTATAGTTCAGTGAATCCAAAATTAGTGCTACTCTAGTGTTGATGGATATGAAGCCATCCATTGGAACATGGGTAAACTACCAGAAACCAAACTCCTTGACAAATCTTGCTCTCCCTTCCTCAACAGCCATCAGGTGCTCTACTTCCTCAGCCCAGGGGATGGGGCTCCACAAGCATCTCTCCCACCCATGCTGGAATGTTGTCTAGCTAGATCTTGTGCATGTGAACATAGCTGCTGTGAGGTCATGAGTGGCACAGCATGGTGGTGTCAAGAAGACACTATTTTTTTATAGTTCTCCCCGACTTCTAGCTCTTAAAATCTTTCTGTCCCCTAGTCTACAATGTTCCTTGAGTCTCAGAGGCAGGAGAATGGTATTGATGACTCAGTTAGGGCTGAGGACTCCATGGACACTGCCCTGTGGTTTGACCAGTTGAGAATCTCTGTATGAACCACAGTTCGCTGAAAGAAAGAAAAAAGCATCTCTGATGAGGACTGAGTGCTGATCTAATCTGTTGGTTCATAGATAAGCATTTAGAAGGCAGTTTGAGACTACAACATTTTGGCAGAATAACAGTACTAAGTTCTCCCCTAGGACCTATGAACTGTCCAGCCAGCCAGAGATTCTTGGCCAGATTTATAGTACCTGCACTGAGTTTTCTCCTGTGGAGCAGGGCTTAAGTCCAATTTGAAAGCAGTACACGATCATACTAGTATTGCATACATCTTGCATCTTGTGAGCCCAATCATTATTGTAGCTCAGAGCATTGACAGCCAGGTAAGACTATTGATGACTTTCTCCTCCAGTACCCTGCATAACGCCTTTCAGTACTGTGACAGTCAGCTGGAGGAAGCTTTGGGGCTGGTATCTGTTTGTTTGTTTGTTTGTTTGTTTGTTTGTTTCTTGTGCAGTGATCATCATGTGAGCACAAGGGCAATGACAATGGCATGTATTGTTTGGTTTTGTGGACACTGCCCTATTTTTGGTTTGAAAAGAGCAAGAGAAACTTAGGCTAATGATTATTTACAAGGAACTCATAAATGAGTAAGAAAAGAACAGGACTACCATGTCAGTAATTCTTCACACATAGCTGACTGTATTCTGAAAATCTTTCTTACAATTTATCATCAAAATTCATTTAAAAAATGAACTACAAAACAGCTCAGGCCTGAAAATTAGAGCTGGTGATTGTTGAGCAGAAGAAATCTGAGCGTTTGATGGTTGCAGGTACACTAACTCCCACCTGAACACAATGGACACTTTGTCTTGACTCAAGAGAGCCAATGTGTTTAGTATAGCTATTGTTAACAATAGAGGGCAAGTTGGATTTGAAACCCTGATGTAATTTTTCTCACCTGAAAACAGAAGAAAAGTGTTAGGCAGAACAGCATTTTGCAGACAGGTATCATCATAGTGGCATTTGGTTCAGAAATTAGAAAAATTACCTAGTAGTGCCTATTCAAATGATAGAAATGAGGCACTTGTGTGGTCTTTAATTGACATTGGAGCTCTTTCTTGACATATTCATTTACCAAAAACAAAAGAAACACATCTTCAAAATGATTCTGAGCGCCTGCTTTGGGCAGAACATGCTGTGAGGTATTGGGAAATAATCATTTGTTCAGATGAATCTAGTATCTCCCCACCTATACCCCACATCTGGTATGGTCCAACTTGAACAAAGCCAACAGGGCCCCTTTTCATGTGTCTTAATTTTATTTGGGGAAGACCACTTGTATGATAGTAAGCTAACAACATATCTCAGCCAACAAATTCTAGTCATGACAGGGACAGAGAATTTCAACAGTCATGTGATGGAGAGAGACAATGTAAATCAGGTGGAGGACAGTGAAAAGGTCCCTTGACACTAAAATTGAGATGTGAGTAGAAGTAAGGGCCAGCTCCATGCAGATAACTTGGGAAAGTAGCTGTCCCCAGGGTTCTAAGGCTGGGCTTAAGCCTGGGGATTCTAAAAGGGACGAAGATGGCAGCTTACAGGTGGACAGGGAGACAGATGTGTTCAGAGAATGGAAGCAGCAGGGCAAGGGCTTGTAAAGCCGATCTTTATCATTTATTCTAAGCTGGTGGGCATCCACCGGAGGATTTCAAATGGTGACATTTGAGGATCAGCGTCACACTTTTAAAAGGTCTCAAATTCTCCAAACGTGGAGTTCAGGGGAGAAAGTGGACACGCAGATGGAGAAGTAGAAGGTAGGGGATTCTGTATGTATGATGGGGAAAGTGTCAACTGGATTTTGTCATGGGTGAACTAAAGGGACAAGGAGTGAATGGAAATGAAATCAAGAATAGCCCTGATCTTGATTAGATGCTCAAGTGTAATCTGCATAGATTCCAAACTTCCTCACATTCAAAGTGGCCCAGATGGATTTTGTGTCTGTCTTCCTTCTGGGGATCTGATTCCACCCGCTACTCATCATCACCTCCTGGCTGCATTGGTTTCCATCCTGTCTTAAAGACTTTTGCAGGGTACATTTCCTCCAACAAAATGTCCCAAAAATATGCTCAGCACTGTTTCTCTCAACAGACATATAACAACTTAAATGCCCCATTCTCCATAGGTCTTCCTTAATGACAGTGCCAATGCCTCTCCCTGTGACATTTCCATGTCACAATAAACAGAGAGTGTAATCTTTGGTCTTGTGTGCTTTCTTGGCACAGAGAAGATGGCCTCAAATGCTTTCTTCATCCTTGCTTCTCATACATACCCTTGAACTATTCAAACACATGGTCCTTGAAGAGAGCAGGGTAACAAATTAACAGCAAATCCATGGTCACAATTATAATAAGAATTACAGAGGTTGTTTTATTGTACAGGATTCTTTTGGCTACCTGGCCAAACATCCCAATTGTCGTGCTAGAAACCCCATCCAATGACTGAGGGAACCGGATGCAGAGATCCACAGCCAGGCCCCAGGTGGAGCTTTAGGAGTTCAATTGGTGAGAAAGAGGAGGGTTTGTATGAGTGAGAATTGTTGAGACCAAGATTGAAAAAAGCACAGGGACAAATAGCCAAATGAATGGAAACACATGAACTATAAACCAATAGCTGAGGAGCCCCCAACTGGATCAGGCCCTCCAGATAAATAAGACAGTTGATTAGCTTGATCTGCTTGGGAGGCATCCAGACAGTGGGACCTGGTCCTGTCCTCAGTGCATGAACTGGCAGTTTGGAA